GTATAATGTATTCCTCTATAGCTGATGGTACATTGCTCTGTATAATATACAGTACAGCACAATGTACCATCAGCTATAGAGGAATAAAAATCCCAGCAATACATTATAGAGCACCATGTGTGGGAAAGTGCAGGTGTACCTGAGCAGTCTTCCAGCAACTTGCTTCTGAAATCAGGCCTGTCTATCTGCCGCTGTCATCCCCACCCCACACCTTCTCCTCCTTACTTCTTCTCCCCGCGTCCCTGTGCCGATCGTGGATGTGGGCGGGCGGTGAGCGTGAGGCGGGGAGGAGGTGTGACGTGTGTAGCATGGAATGCGAGCGGGTCTGGCAGCGGCGAGCGTGAGGTGGGGAGGAGGTGCGGCGCGCAACGTGTGTGGAGCTGTGAACAGGAGCAACTAATCAAAAGCCGATTAATCGATGATTGAAAAAGTTGACAACTTTTTCAATAATCGATTATAATCGATTATGTCGATTAGTTGTTGCAGCCCTATTTGACTGACTGGAGAGACACCCTAACATTTTTCAAGCCCTGTATATATACCAAGCACCACATGTGTCTCTTCATCTGAAATGTTCTATTCTGTTTATTTCCTTATTTTTCAGGATCAAGTTCTCCAGGCCCTGAACTTCCGCAACACTTTCTCTGGCCGTCCATTTCTACCTTCAAGTCTCATCCCTTCAGAGAAAAGAATTGTATGTATTTTATCTACCTTGATGTGAAGATGTTGATTTCTCAAATACCAAAACTTTATTTCAATCTTTTTTGTTCTCATTTTTTTTTTTTTTTTTCATTCTTTATTGACTGAATCAATGTCATAAAACACAGTAACAGTGGATACGGTGAGGTTACAGCATGCACCGTTTCCGCAATATAACAAACTGTTGCAGATCAGACATATTCAAGATGTTGATTTCTATGGCAATAATCTTCTACACAAATGTAACATTAATTAATTTCTAAGTTACGTGCATCAAACTTCCAGAAATATTATGGATTATATTAAATGCTATCAGTCAATAGCAGGAATTAGCCTGCTATTGGCTGACTTTGGGTCACAGGTGTGCATTAATAAATGCACTTCTTTGACCCAAATCAGAAGTATAGCCAAAAAAGGTTTGTATTTACTTCTCATTTTTCTCCAAACTATACTTAGAATTTTTATAACGTACAAACAATGCAACAGCTAAGAATCAACAATATTGGACAACGCAGTTTCACTCTTGCATATCACCAAGGCATTTACAGAAAAAGGGAAAGCATACCCAGAATGCCACTGTTGTGAATATGATCTAGACCAGTGGTTCTCATCCTGTGTAACCTCAGACCCATATTTTCCTTGGTCATTAAGTCCTTGTTTTTCAATACACTTTGTCCATCTGTCAACAAGCTTTCGTATTCCAACATTCAAAAATGTTTTAGGCTGAGCTGCGAGCCACAAATGCACCGCTGTCTTCACTCCATCAGAGGTGAATCTTTGTCCTTGCAGGGCAGAGTCATGGCTGATTTTCAAATCATTTGCCACATAATCCACTCGACAGAATAATTTCACCTGTATGCTCAATGTTGTCATCAGCCGTGGATGTAGAGACCCTCCTTGAACTTCGCTATCCATTCATATATACCTCTTCACGACAAAACACCTTCTCCATACTGCGCACAGAATAGAAACATCTTCAATAAATAACAGCAACAGGCACACCCTCCGACCACAAAAAAATTATCACTGCACGCTGCTCTTCTTTCTTGCAAATTGCAAGTGGGGCATCCATTTTTTTTTTTTTGCACCAGTTACTAATGAACGGACTGAACACATTCACACCTGCACAGCCTTGAACGGAAAGCGCGGCCAACAGAAGTTTTAATATAACCGGAGTAGGGCTGCAGCTAACGATTTTTTTCAAAATGGATTAGTTAGCCGATTATTAAGTACGATTACTCGGTTAATCGGATAAAAAAAAAAAAAAGGCTCCAGTGATGGACTACTAGAGCTAAATGTATAGTGTGGAGCCGCCGCTCATTTTCATACAAGTGATCTAATTAGATCACTTGTATGAAAGGAGCAGCAGCGATCCTTTCCTGTTTCAGGGTCCCCCACTCCTCTGGGGGACCTGTGACCACGGCATTGGAGCTCCCCATAGAGCCCTTAGAGCAGACAAACAACGTCCGTTCTTCGTCTGCTCTGTGCGATCACTGAGACCGTGGTGCTGTAATCACAGCGCTACCTCTCTCAGCTGTCAGGAACTACACAGAACCCTACCCTCCCTAGGTGCGTTTGATGGTCAGGTGTGCCCTATGGGGCGAAAAATACGGTAAATAAATAGCAATGGCAAAAATAGCTGACAATTGAGTAGTAGACAACAACTGTATGAAAGCAGAATCTTATAATGTGATATAGAATGTAGATTGATTGACAGAAGGAGATGACAATGTACCGATTGTTTTTTATTTGTCTATCCTCAGAATGTTATGAGCGATATCTCTGAAGTCACATGGCCCTCTGTGGAGGATGATGCCGGGTGTGTGACACGTCTGGAAGATGGCAGTGTAAAGGTTTCTTCTGTGGATGGACATGCCCATTTATACATGCCCATCTCTCAGCAAGAGTTCACTGTGGAGTTCTTATGTCAGCTCAGCTGTTTCCCCACATCGCAGAAGAAAGAGAAGCCAGCGAGCAGTGAACCAAATGCAGCAAATGATAAAACTAGAGACAGGTGGAAATATTCCTCCTGTGTGATACAAGAAGACGCCCAGTCACTTGTGACAAAGCATGCCTTCCAGTATACATGGCTGGTGCAGCGCTACTCTACAGCTCTATGTCCACAGACATTCCACCATCCTATGAACCTAGCTCTTCATTTCCACAGGCAGTTCACACAAAGAGATACAGAGGGCTGTTCAGATACTTGTACAACAATTGCTGATGATGAGTGCTCAAAACATCTCAGAAATGGAGCAGTGTCTGTTTTACCGTGTTCCCTGCCTCTCGGCTGTCCTGCAACACACCTGCACAGGTAATCTTTCTTGTCTTTTTATTTTTGCAGGTGTACCATGTCTGCTGCTCTGCACAAGCCCACATAACACTAAACCTAACCACAAAGTTTAGACATCTGTTGGGCGCATGTGCATGATCTCCCTGTCTGTCCAGAGGCCACAAAGTGTGTGCTTGTCAGCTGTGAGAAGAGGCTGCAGATGTTGGCTCATAAGCGGGGAATAACAGAGACAAATACAGGTTTTCTGATTTGCATGTAACCCAGTGACATTGTCTGGCTGGTGTAATCTACATCCACCCACTGATAGTCCAAATCAGGTAGCTGTCATCTCATGTCTTGGGTTGCCTTAAAGCAGGACTGGACAAATTCCAGGAGCCAAGTAGTAAATGCTTCTTACAAATTACATTTGATACCTAACTTTTTAGGTTTCTTCTAGCTGTTGTCAATGGTGCTGGCTCCAAGAAAAAATCCTGCTGGGTCCTGGATTAGACTGACTGAATACCTGAATTCCATATTGATTTGTCCACCCCTGCCTTAAAGCAGATCTGTGCTGAAAAATAACCCCCTATTAAGCCCACCTTCCCACTCAGTGAACCGTAGGCACCCGCTTGTGCATATACTAAAATCCCAATGTATGAGACGCATGTGCATACTCTGAGACCCTCCCATAATGCAGAGCTTGGCGTCCCATTTCCCAAGCCTGAGTGTTTTTGCATGAAGAGGAGCATGCACATCAGAGTGCAATATTTAAAATTTGACTTTACTCCATAGTTGTACAGACCTCTGTGTGAGCACCACTGGCAATCAGAATAGTGGGCAGTATCAGGGGTGGCGCGTATGGTCATTAGTGTGCCTACTATACAGCAGCGAGGTGGGGTTTTGTTTCAGTACAGGTCCACTTAAAGGGTGGCCACAAACTGGCAGTTATCTCACCTAGAATAAAATGGGGAGCCTGCCCATTCTCAAATCTGTTGGAATATACTTTGCAACAAAAACTTCCCTTGGTTAACTTCTCCCATCCCTTTTACAATAAAGGAAGGGATAATGCCCATTGCACAGAGATGTGACAGTCATTTTGGAAAAATCTTTGTGTACAATAAGCATTTTTGGTGGTTGAATGCTTTTATAATGACCCTCTAGCAAAGCTCTACTTGTCCTTAATAATGCCCAAATAAGATGCATCACTTGCAAGGAATGTACAAATCATGGAGTAGCTGATCCTTTTATACTCTCCCTGTGCTTCACTTGCTCATTGAGTAGCTAATATCATCCCACATTCCAGGGTTATAAAGGATGTGCTAAGCATGGCCGTACGAAGTCTAGGAGGGGAACCTTTTTATTGATTTCCCTGGCTTTGAGGTCTCTTTGACCTCAAAGCAGAGACAAATTTTTTTAGAGAACCCATCACTGATTCTAATCTCTATATTTTATCTCCTCTTGGAAAAGGCAAGCATCATACTTGTAGCATTGTGAGCCCTCTATGTAGCCAGGGTTCTAAATTGAGATTATAGACCTCATGTGTGAAATGTCTGGCTAAAGATCTCGGTCTGTGTTTCATGCACTGCTCCCCTTCCTGAGGCGGGACACAGAGAGGCTCTTGTATATGAGGCCCAGTATATTTTGCAATGTACAATAAAGGTATGTTGATCCCAGGGGCGTAACTAGAAATCACATGGCCCCATAGCAAAATTTTGTATGGGGCCCTGTGATTTCTAGTTACGCCCACCTGATAACCCAACCAGCCCACCTAAGGGTGACCCTGCAGAGCCCACCATAGACTCTCTATGGTAGGCTCTGCAGGGTCTCAGGCGGGCGGTCAAGCCCTCTTACCTGTCAGCCCTGATCCTCTGTCCGCCTCCTTCTCCTCCACGATCAACACCTCCGTCACTGGGCCCTCCTCCTCACAGCCGCCAGTGACAGCCAACAGCCTGGCTGTCCGAGCAAGATGCCATAGCGACCCAGGCGGCCCGCATGGCATCAGGGAGATGTCCTGGCCGGGCCCCGCCGTGCCTCGGGCCCATAGCGGCCGCCTGGGTCGCTATGGTGATTGTTACGCCACTGGTTGATCCTCTAAATTTCAGTGCTACACTGATTTTTGCCTTTATTGTGTCATTAAGAAGGGCCATAATTTCATTTGATCTGATGTAAAAAATACATAAAGAAATTTCATGTTTGGTTTTATTTGTATATACATTGGCCAACATTAGCTTTGTGTTTAGGTAAAATTCTCAACAATGGTATTTTTGTTTTGTTTTAGATGGAATTTTTCTTATTTCACTTTGGAAGAAGAAGATTTTCTGATGGCTCATCCTCTGCCTTTAAAAGTGGTGATTTACAATGGTGTGCTTTACAGGTAAGATGTGTTACTGAGTATATGGGATTCTAATAGCATCTCATATGCTATTCTGATATCTAGCAAATATATATTATATATACACACACACTGGTGCGGAATTCCTATCACATGGACATGCAGTTCTAGGTGCCAGGCAGGTAGTTTTTTTTTCTCCATATTTAGCCCTGCTTCAGGCAAGCAGGGCTAAATGTAGAGCTCTTCTTCTTGGAGACCCAGGACCACAGCAATCATTTCAAGATGGGGAGAAGATTAGGGACAGTCTGTTCCCCCGATCTGCTCTGTTATCAGTGAGACAGGAGTGGTGTATTCACAGCGCTTCCTGTCTCAGACGTCACATTTGGAGCTGTACAGAAGATGCAGCACAATGCTGTACTGGATTTTCTTTATGAAGCCTGCCCTCCAGTAAAGAGAGCCTGCCACCTCCGAATGATATCACATAGGGCAGTGATGGCTAACGTTTTTGAGCCCGAGTGCCCAAACTGCAACGCAAAATCAATTTATTTATTTCAAAGTGCCAACACTAAAAATAAGTTTGGTATTTTGTTTTAGTTTGGGACCTGGGTTTAAAAATCGTTTAGCATCACTGCCTTAGGCAAAATAGGAAAACACATATTCAAACATTTAAACAGTTTGCTGTTATACTGTGTAACCTGGTTATCAAAAGACTATCAGCACCCCCTCGTTATCTCCCATTGTACTCTGAAGGAGCTCAAGATAATGACCTTCTGGCCAGGCTCCTGCTACGGTTGTCTGGAGCTCGTTAGCAGGTGGAACCCTGTGGTGTTGTGCAGACAGAATGTCTGGAGAGTGCAGGGTGCATGTGATGGGATTATAATCTGATCACTTGCTGTATAAAAGGTTGCACAGTTGCTCAATAAATCAGAGTTTGTTTCACCCTACACTCGAGTCTCGACTAGTGACTGGGGAAACTAGGAGCTAAAGATCTTCAGGTTGCAATATCTCCTGAGCAAGGAAGAATACAGTGGCGGACATACTCATCCTGAGTACTGGGGTCCGTCACCACCGCACCGACCAAGAGAAGCGCTTCTTTGCACGATTAAATACAAAAATAATTTTAACCAAAACCGTATCAGGACAAGTAGATTGGGCCCCCGCTTTAATCCTTGGCCAAGTCGTTTTTTTTTTTTGCATACCCACGGCTAACATCTTATAGCTTTCTGAATGCCTCAGTTATGTTGGCATGGTTGTATACACTGCATATATTTACCCCTGCTGGAACATATGGGGTGATCAACACTAGATGTCACTACTATCACATTTTATAGACATATTGAAGAACCTAGGAGTACGTTCCTGCCTGCCCATGTCACTGCCAAAGCAATTGGAGTCTTGGGTGAGCCTGAGTCCATCCAGAACTAATATATAAGTAATGGATAGTTTCTCATGGGCTCAATCAGCAGGAACAATGAGACTACTATTTATCCAGAGTGAGAAATCGTAGAAGGTAGGGTTGCACCGATATATCGGCCGCCGAAACATATCGGCCAAAAATGGCACTTTTGGCATAATGCCGAAAGAGCCATGTTTCGGCCGATACATCGGCGCATCCCTGGTTTCTTTTCTCCCCGCTGGGCGCTGTTCCAGCGGGGAGAAAAGAAAGTGACAGCCGGCCGAGCGCTGCGGTGGAGAGCGTTCTGAGCGGCCGGCGTCTCCTCCCACACCGCTCAGCCGCCTATCACAGTCCGGCAAAATTTCGGTTTCAAAATTTCCATTTTGGTGCACCTCTAGTAGAAGGTGATAAGGATTCCAGTATTGAGACCCTGGAGGTCCTGACGTAAGAAAACAGAGTGTGAGTCAATAGAAATATACAGTATGTTCTTTATGGAGTCACCCTTTAATCCTACAATAGAGCTTGCAGCATTACTGCTATTCTTATGAGCTGTTATCACTGTGATTGTCTATTTTAGGTTCAATTTGGATGCCGTTCTTTCAGTAGAAGTATACCCCGGTGATGGATCTGTTTTTCGCTCAGAGGGTGATAACATCGGAAAATATTTCAAGCATTGCTTCATTAATGGTGGAATAGGACAGGTAATATATAACAGGTGCACTTCCATGAAGAATACTTTAAAGGGCCAGTTCACTGTAGCTGACTTTTTGGTGTTCTAATGCCAGATCTGTGCCCCGATTCCATCCATCTGCTGCAACCTTTTATGGGATATGGTTTTTCCCTCTCAGTGTTGCAATGTTTGTTTATTATGAATTATTGTGGATACTTCAGCAGGAGATGTGAGACCTAGGCTGTTATGTCTGCAGAATCCCAGGCAAACCGTTCATTACACAATTGTGATGTATACTGCATATCCTTTAACATGTGCACCCTGGCTGATAATGGCTCAGTACTGTTTGCTATTAGCTATGCTCTCAAATAAATAAAAAAAATGAATGTAAAAACAAATATTCCAATTTACACCAATGCACTGATCACTCCAAGTACTTACAAGGTGTTTTTTTATCACTCCCCAGGTACAATCAGCAGATTCTGTTGACCATTTATAAGCAAGTCAAAATAATATGTCCAAGATGAAATCCGTGCGGGTTTCCATGCTTGGACACAGTCAGGACAATCCTGTCTGCATACAAGTACGGACACCCAGTTCGGGTGAGCGTACGTCCGCTTACTCCCATAGAGAAGAACAGGCTGCTGCGTACAATCACACGCAGCACCTATCCTTCCAGGAACGGCCCAATACGGCCGTGCACGCTTCAAAATTGTATTCCACCAGCCTTCCGCAAGCTTCCATGCTTGTTGACATTGCCATGACATTGCCCATTACCTTTTGTTAATTTAGATTGTCAGCAGGGGTGCCCAGCCTGGAATGAGCAGAACGTTTCTCAAGACAGTTGAGAGGCGAAGGTGAAGGGATAGCAGTTTATCTGAATATTTCACACTATTCCAGGAGTGGACAATAATGGGACTGGGGAGGTTCCTGTGCAGAGGAGATCCACAAGATGTTAGTCACATAACTGTAGATGTGGAATAAACTTCTAAGCTGACCCACAATGTTTAAAAATGTTATGTAAATGGAAACTCAATAAAAAAATGTTTAAAAAAAAAAAAAAAATGTTATGTAACTTTAGTTTTGTTCTGTGTTTTAGGTAGAAGACCGACTGTTCACTGTCACAGACCTGCCTCCAGACAATCCGAGAGCTCTGTATTCAGTCCGTTCCCTCATATCTCAAGCTCGAAGGTTTGTGCTTCATTTAAACAGCAGGTGCAGCAAAAAAACGATTTTATTCATTGAAGCTTTCTAGGAAAAGTGACCACTTGCAAAAGTCAGAAGGTTCACTAATTTTATTGTAAAGGAAATCGGTCATGAGAGAAACCTCCTTTTGAAAATGTTTATTACCTGGCTGTCCTGCTAACCTTACAGCTTTACTGCTGAGTATCTAATTCAGTACATGTGAAGAGGGAATATGGATTTGAGGATGTTAATGGCCTGCCTACATTTTGGGGTAGAGGAGAGTGCCTGCTGTCCAGGGAACATGGAATGTTAACCAGTTGACATACGCGGTGTTAAACCCCCTTCCCATCCAGGCCATTTTTCAGTATTCAGCGCTGCGGTACTTTGACTGACATTTATTCTGTCATGCAGCGCTGTACTGAAATTAATTTTATAAATTCCTCTAGAAAAATTAGCATTTTAACTCTTACTATCCCAGGGAGGAGGGGGTGTGCCACAAAATACTCTGATTTAATGGCTGACAAGTGCCAGTGTTCAGTTTGCAATGCATATCTATAGTGACCAAAGTGTGTGTGGATGCTTAAAGTGACTGTCACCTAAAAAGATAAAACAAAGACGGTAGCAGGTATAAAGTGGAGACGCCTAGCAGAGCCTACACATTCCTGCACCAGCTTTGATTGCCTTCTATATGCTGCGTGTACTTCTTCGGTCACCCTCTTACTCTATCCTATACGCTCTTACTCACATTTTCAATCTTTCACTCTCTACTGGCATCTTTCCCTTCCCTCTAAAGCATGCCCTGGTCACCCCAATACCCCAAAAACCCTCAATGGACCCTACCGACCTCAACAATCTCAGACCAATCTCCTTACTCCCATTCACCTCAAAACTCCTAGAACGCCTTATCTACAGCCGCCTGAGCCGCCACCTCGCTGATAACCTTCTCAACCCCTTACAGTCCGGCTTTCGCCCCTACACTCCACTGAAACCGCTCCCCTAAAACTCACTAATGACTTACTAACAGCTTAAAACAATGGCCACTACTCCTTAATCTTGCTATTAGACCTTTCTGCTGCTTTTGACACTGATGACTACCCGCTCCTCCTCAAAAAAACTCCACTTGCTTGGCCTAAAAGACTCTGCTCTCTCATGGTTCTCCTCCTACCTATCTAAGCACTCCTTTAGTGTCACCTACAAATCTAACTCCTCTTCCTCTTTCTGTAGGGGTCCCCCAAGGCTCTGTCCTTGGACCCCTTCTCTATCTACACCACCTCTCGGTCAGTTGATCACCTCGCATGGATTCCAATACCATCTCTATGCTGATGACACTCAAATATCACTAATCTACTAACTGACATATCCATCTGGATGTCACAACGCTTCTTAAAACTCATTCTGTCACACTCAGCCTCTGTACTGAGTGCTTCTCATTCATTGAGTGCTGAGGCTGCAGAAAAATACATTTGAGGACTCTGTGTCCTCAATTTCTATTTCAAAAGGGAAATTTCAGGGGTCTGTTAAGACCCCAGAAATGTTACTATAGTACCCCCAACAGTAAAAACAAAACAAAAAAATAAAATGTATAAAAATCAAGAAGCGGTGGCGGCGGCTGGCTAATGCGACCATGAGCTTATACCAGAACTGTAAATGCCAGGTCCGTACGTGAGGAACACTTTTTTGTTCCTCAGTATGCCGTCCGTCTTTGGCAGGAAAAGGGTTAAAGGGCATCTGTCAGGATAGAGAGATAGGAGCTTCTGTTGCTTATTTATTTATTACAGGTATTTATATAGTGCCGACAATTTATACAGTGCTTTACATAATACACATTCATATCAGTCCCTGCCCTCATGGAGCTTACAATCTAAGGTTCCTATCTCACATGCATACATAGGAGGGCCAGTTTAGACAGGAGCCAATTTACCTCCCAGCATGTCTTTGCAGTATGGGCGGAAACCAAAGTACCCGGAGGAAACCCACACAAGCACGGGGAGAACATTCACTCCTTGCAGATAGCGTCCCGGCCGGAATTCAGACCAGGGGCCCTCAATGCTGGGAGACATAAGCGCTGACCACTACACCCCTGTGCTGCCCATTTGGTTTCAGATGGCACAAGTTCTAGTGTGTTTATCCTTACTTCACTACTAAGTAACTGCCCTGAAGGAAACATGTGACCCAGTGAATGCCTCTTACGCCTGACCTCCATTTTTTTCAATGTCCTTTTGAAAGAGTAGTGAAAGACCCAAAGCTTGTACGTTCTATGGCAGCTCCGAAATGTCTATATTAACAGGCAGGGCTGGATTTTGCTTCTTGTGCCTCCCCCTCTTCCACCAGTTATCTGCCTTTTTTTAATAGATTGTCATCTTAAGCTGGCCAGACACTTTGTTTTTTTTTTGTTTTTTTTTTTACCGTCTGCCTGTGGGCTGAAGAAAAGGAATCTATCCATCTTAAACAGTGTGGATGGACGAATCTGCCCCAGTGGGCTGTTTTATTTAGCAGTCAGTGGAGCAGTGCCTGTATCTGATTGGATACAGCTACTGTTTGGACAAACATTTTTGGCTCATATCCTTCAACAAAAGTTGATTGAAAATTGACTTTTGTTGAAAAGAGAGGTGCTGACTGGGAGACACACGGCTCAAATTTTAGCCAAATTACCAGGACTAACAAGTCAGAACCATACAAGGCACTCTGTGAGCATGGAGAAGCTAAAGCTGGCCATACACTGCTCAAATTTTGGCCATGTGCTGCTGACTCAAAATTCCACCAGTGTGTAGCCTTGCTGGCACCCCTCGTTTTGACACAAGTCAATATTTGTTAAAGGAGCCAGGCTGAAAATTGTAGGTGACTGTGACTGCAGCCAATCAGCTACTCTGTAATCACTGTTCGGGTGTTCTGACAGCTTAACCCCTTCATGACTGAGGCCTTTTTTTCATTTTTTGTACCCATAGTTTCCCCTCTGTGCATCAGTATACTTTGAACTTAAGATTAGGTTCTACTAACATAAATGAATATAGTGTGCAGGGGCAGCTATAGGGAGCCAGCTAGACAGCACCAGTGGGCAGAACAACAGTCTAAAACAATTTATTATATGTACTACTTACTATCAGCAACATGATATGTGGGTGACTGTGTGGTGTCCCTGCTGCCCTAACCATGGCCTGTGATCACTGTGCAGAAATATATTCCTGATAACAGGTTCTTTTTAATGTCATGCATTCAAAAATTTGCATTTCATCTCCCATGGGACACACAGCCTATCTGCGAAGTAGGTCCAACTTTCCTTCTGGCAGTTATCTTGTGCACCTGGCTGCCCAGAGCACTATATCCTCATACTTATCCTTATCCCCCTAATGGCCTTGCCTTGTTTCCTGGATCCAAGCAACACCATTTTCATACCCACAGCTGCTTCTCTCACACTCACTGAAACATAAGAGCAAAAGTGCAGATCACAGAGCCATATGACAAGAAGCTGCAGCTCATCCCCAAAAAACTTTGCACAAGTCGGCTCCCATTATGTAAGGTATAACCTCATGGACTCTAAAGAGAACATCTGAGAAGATTAACTGCCCCCCTCCCCTCTTTTGTGTCTTTGTTTTTCAATAAAGCTTTGGGCCTGTTATCTTTTTCCCCCTCTCCCTTATCTCTCTTCCATATCCCCATCGCACCTGTTGCTTAAAGAAAGGTAAATAGTTTTTTTGCAGAACTAGGGTTTTACTCTGCATTTCATGTCGGACTTTGCATTGCAAGTAATTTCAGGAGGTTCCCCAAAGACAACATGTTCAGTACAAGGTAAAGCAGTGTCATAAATGATGTGGAGGGCCCAGGACCCTTGTCTTGTGCTACACGTCAGGCATCACATCTCTAAGTGAATGTAATTTATTTGTGTGAATGTGTTGTATCGCTATGCTATGTTCTTGCGCTGTGTCGCAGTACAGGGTGGAATGTTCGCCTGAACAGTATTTCGTTTTTTATATATTATGAATTATATTTTTTTTTTTCCAAGAAATGTATGTAAGGTACATTGGATGGGCTTTCTGACTTGGCCTAGTCACATCATTTCTTGGACGGTGTCAGCAGTTGATTGAATCCTTGTGCTGTTTTTGTCTGGAGCTCATCTGTATTAAACTTTGAGGACATCATATTTGTTTTTCCCATTTGTTCCCTTGCTCTGTAGGTTTTTGGATGTCTGTTTCAGTAAGAAGCTTAGTCTAAACTCCCTTTCTTACTCCTGCTGCTGGAAGACGGTATGATGACCCACCACTTGAATATTTATTTTCATGATTTTTAGAGTATCCTGATCCTATCCACAATGCAAATAGTCACAGGAAAGGCTTGTTTCTAAAGCTATTTGCATCCTGCGTGCCATGTACTGTGCATGCTGTCTCATTTGTGTCTGCTTTGAAAATCTTTGGTGAAGTAATCCATTTCATTTGTATGTGGGTTTCCGATAAATGCTGCATGCAGGTGAAGGAACGCTTTTCATAAAATCACACAGAAATAAAGAACTACTTTAAGCAATGTTTGCATCTAAAGCATAAACTCCTAAAAATATAAAGTGCTATAACAGAGGGATATTGTTGACTGATCTCCAGACTTTTATTAGTCAAACACCTGGATAAAATATAAAGAAAAAAATAGCACCTATGAGTGTCTGCTTAAATCCATGGCCCAGTATCCACAGATCCATGGTTCTAATCACTCAATCAGAAAAAGAAAAGCATACATTAGTGTGGTAAGGACACCTCCTATAACATGGTACATGAACATTCACAGTCACTCCAATAGATCTCAAACTACAGACATGGAGGCTTTACTTTTAGATTCACAAAACATCTGTGCTCCTACCTACACCCTAACCCTGTGATAACAGCAGTGTAAAAGTGTATGAACCACTTCTAATATGTTTCAAAGCGAAGCACACTGCCCTTAATAAAGTGACCAGTATAAACCATATGTAATAATATAAATAACAACAATGTATCAAACAAGTGTACATCCCCCCCCCCAAAAAAGGGCTGATTTATCTTGCTTCGCATCTCACACTGTAACTCCTTCTGCTCCCCAAGTCTTTCCATATACTAATTGCTAAATCCAGTGTCTTCCCTAATTGTCTCAAAAATTACTAATCCACCGCAACGATAAAAGTGCCTCCAAGTGATGTCTCTAATCTTATAAGCTTCATACCACACTCACCAGAACAGTTAGACCATAAACAAAATGGTCATAACGCGCTCTTTGTAATCAGTTAGTTTTCCGTTCCTCTTCTCTCCTCCTCCACTCCCAATATAGGACTTTAAATCAACCGGAATGCAGCTAGTCTTCCACATATTCTCATATCATAAAGGAAATAAATTATTAAAACCAATGAGCAACGCTGAATGACATGAAAACAGTCCGTCTCCACTCAGTATCACCCCTTGTAGTAGTCAGATCAGTTCCACCCGGCTCAATGCACAAATCATACCATACAAAAATTATGGGGGGAAGTTATCAAAACTGCAGCAATCAGCTTCTCTCTTTAGTTTGTTCAGTTAAGATGTCAAAATGAGAGAGAGTTGCTGATTGGTCGTCATGCACCGCTGTTCCAGATTTTGTCTGCTCCAGTTTTGATAAATTCCCTTCCTTGTGTATACATATCATCAGCTTTAAGCAGTAAAAGAACATATTAACTAAAACTTTACAGTTTCCAAGGTATGTTTTAATTTAAAAGGGCATGTTATTCATTAGTCCCAGTGGGCTATGTATTTGAATATATTAAATTAATATCTATTAAATTTTATATTAAAAATAGCTCCTTTTGAAGGTAAGCAAAGATAACTGATCATTATAAAGGATCATATAAAGTACCCCAGTGTAGCCAAATATAACGCACTTAGAGCAGTTCTTTACACTCAAAAATCTAATTCTACCAATGCATCCCTCTATGTATGATGATTAATAATAACATAGACATGTCAGGTGTAAAATGCTGTGATTGTGAAATACTTACACTTGCAGAGCATTCACTTCCTGCTTTGGGCAATATGACTTCAGTTTGCCAAAGCAATGCACACTGGGATTGCCTTGTCATCAGCAGAGCATTGCTGGGAAATCACATCTCAGGAGATCTCAGGGAAAGGCATTTCCTCCCCTGATATGATGTGTATGGTCATATGTCCTAGTCTCATGTCTAGTCACGTGTGCCAGAAATCCAGGAAGTGAAAGGAGAGCTAGTAATCTGCCCTTAGTAAACATGGCCACTGTCAGAAGACTAGGAAAGAAAAGAGAAACAAGGTATGCAAAGAATACAAAGCCGGCAATTATCTAGAAGTGTGTATGTAGATTATTACTGAACATTTCTAGAGGTGTGTTTGTTCTTATTTTAAAGATATGGGTAAAGGTCTACTTTAAGGGTTAACAGCTGATCCCTAACTAAATGAACAGATGTACTGTATGTGGACACACTTCTAAATGATTAAGTTTGGGTGTTTCCAGTGGAGAGTATTGTTAATACTACATCATACAAAGACATTTTAGACACTTGTGTATTTATAAACCTTGTGGCAACCTTTTGGGGAACAACCTTTTCTGTTTCAGCGTGACCCTCGGTGTGTCCTTATGAACAAAGCCAGCTCCATAAAGACATGGTTTGATGAGTTTGTTGTAAAGAATACTCGAGTGACCTGCACAGAGCCCTAACTTCAACCCTATTACACGCCTATTGGGTAAACTAGAGCACAGATTGGGAGACAGATCCTCTCATCCAACATCAGTATCTGGCCAAATGTGCACAAAATCTTAAACTCCAGAAGAGTGGTGGCTGTTATAGTTGCAAAGGGGGTAGATGGGGTGCAAAGCTTTTTTAATTCCCATACTTTTGGAATGGGATGTCCAACAAGTTCATATAGGTGTGTAATGGTCACATGTCTACAAACATTTGCTCATACAGTGTATTTCAGCACTGACCTCTGTCATGGTAACTGCAGACACACACAATGGTATTCAGGGCTTGTTTACTACTCCGTTGGTACAAGTCTGCAATGCAAGTCTCTGTATTATATTACAGTTGTTTATCAGGGATTACTGGATGATCTTAGTAATATATAAATCCCCCACTCATTGCAGAAGTCTGAGGATGATGCTGGAGTCACAATGCCATTTCTGCTGGAACAATGTTTCATGCCAGACAACGGAAAGTTTGCTGTTTATTCTGACAATATGGTTCTTGGCAACTTCTTGGATGGTGTAATTTTATTCATGATTTGGAGCTTTACTCATTTCAATAGAGAGGAAGAGGTAATCAATGTTATTTATTTATTTTTCCCTTGGATTGTCATACCTTGTGTTTTTTGTTTTTTTTTTAAAGGTGAACACATTGCTACTTATTTTGTGTCCTGCTGTAAGTTTACATTCAGAATTGCTGACATTACATGGTGCCATGAAGCCATATACTCTTAGGATAGCACACCAAAAACATGGGCTGCTTATTTTTAAAGTATTATCCCTAAAAAAAAAGCCTATCGTGTCTCTAACTAACCACTCAACCATCACGTTCTCAAACAATTTATCCCCACACAGCTACCTCCTCATGTATCACTTCCTCCTCCCTTTTAGGTTGTAAGCCTTCAGGGGCAGGGCCCTCCTTACCATCTCTTGATTTGTATTGTAATTGTAATGTCTTCCTTAAATTGTAAAGTTCTGCGCAAACTGTCGGCGCTATATAAAAACTTTATATTAATAATATTGTACTTTTTTAGTTCATACAACTGTAACAAAATCATTCAGAGTATTATAAGCATCAGTAAAATAGTATAGTACGCTACACGCCAGCCTGCTATACAATATCCTCTATTTGTTGGTGATCTAACTTTGAGCCAGGGATTCCCAGCTCCAACTGCTGTGCATGCCCTAGGGATGACCCGTTCTACTTATTCTGAAAGAAGTTACATCCCTTATACACTCATACTGCAGTCTCCTAAAAGCATTGCTCTGGAGGGTGGTTACACATGATAGAATTACTGGTGAGGGCTTGTTCACACCAAAAGCCTGTGCGTTCCAGAGTGGTAGCTGCTGGAACGCACCGCAATCGCTGAGAAACTTCCGTCGCGTTTTGGGGCGGGAGGGGGCGTGACGGTGCATTGAATTCAATGGCAGCACTTCCACGCCGTCCCCCGCCCGCAGTGCGATCGAACGCCTGGCAAAACTTTGCCAGCGTTCCGTTCCCCTGCAAACGCAAAAAATAGGGCTGGGGGGGTTTACCAGCACATCACTATTAGCACTTCTACCTTGCAGCCCTGGGGGTTCCTGGTTCAAATCCCAGTCAGGTCACTATCTGCAAGGAGTTTGGATGTTCTCCCTGTGCTTGTGTGGGTTTCATCCGAGTACTCCGGTTTCCTCCCACACTGCAAAGACATGCTGGGAGGTTAATTTGTATAAATCGGCCTTGTATGTGTGCATGGGAAATTATGGACCTTAGATTGTAAGCTCCTTGAGGGCGGGGACTGATGTGAATGTGCAACTATGTAAAGCGCTGCGTAAATTGTCGGCACTATATAAATACCGGTAATAAATATATACTGAGAGCATGTCCACCCTAATTCAGGTGAGGTCCGCTGTGTGTTGAAATGTTTATAATGGCTGCGAAAGAACACACTTGTTTTATCTTTGCCCTTTTTTTTTAGCTGAAAGACAGCATGAATGTATCTCACACCTCTCCTGTTCGTAAGCATGATCATTTCGGTCGGTGCCGATTGCAGTTTCCAAACGGAGAATCAAAACTGGTTGAACTGGAGTGTCCTGGAGAGTATGCTAGGTATACTTAAGATGACCAAATACGCTGATAGTTTTCAGTAGTAAGAATAATTACACATTGTCCTTCTTCCTTACAGCTACATCAGACCTGCAGTAGCCTGGTGCCAGTGTCTGGATGAAAGATCTCAGAGGAGTGTACTGCCTCCGGCTGTTATAGAAAATTGGTAGGTGTTGCATATATTATGTACTTGAAACCACACTCAATTTCTTCCTGGAGTAAACCTTGGCCAATTAAAGTGTTTTAAGTTACCATTAAGTAAACAACATTGTATTCTACTTTATTGATGTACAATTTAAAAATCCTCAATGAACACATTTAACTAAACTACATCTATTCTACATTGCATGATCTTAAGGCGGAATGTTCTGTAATGTTCCTCTTTTTAAGGCAAGCCTATCATGAACACAAAAAAAAAAGGTTGCCATTGCGGAGTTCTTTGGTTTATGTAAGTTGCCTGGCTTCCATGCTCTCTTGCTTTTAATACTATTATGTCACATACCTGTAACAACAATGCAGAGAAGGAGTTCTCACTTTACCTGACTCTCCTGATCTGCATACTTGTTCCAGGCCCTGCAGTTTCTGAATGAGACATCTATTTTAAATGATGAAAATCATAAGAGAAATATATATTTTCTGGCTTTCAAGTTCCAGACCACAAGCAAGCATGCAACAAATGGAAGTCTGTTCCAGGTTACGGATTCATTAAAATTTGAAGAATTATAGTAGGTCATTCCATGAAAGAGAGTTGAAGAATGGCAACGGCGTACTGTCATGATAGGTTTCCTTAAAATTCAGGCAACTGCTGACTGATATGTGTAATTTGTGTTTTCATTTTTGTTGATGTACTATGCTTTCAAACCAAACTTTAACGTATGATTTACAAAGAGTAGATGTACAGTCATGTTTAGTTTAGTGTTATCAGTGATTTAATGGCCCTAAAATTATTGCTCTCACTGCGACGTTCATGGTGATATGTAACATATGCGGCACAATAGGCGCAATCGTCTTTTTCGCACGTAGGTGCACCCAACACATGTTTACGTGCATATGTGGGGGCGCGGGACTTTTTTTTTTTTTTTTTTTAATGCTTCTTTAATTTTCTTATTACTTTATTGTTTTTACACTTAACTTTATTGCCATCACATGGAGGGCTAAGAAGTCCCTTATGTGATAGCCAATTTACATGACAGGTCCTCTTTATGGAGACATCAGGGGTCTCCAAGATCCCTAATGTCACCTAGGGGCCCCCCGAGAAGCTGATGAAGCAGAGATCTGCTTCACCAGCTTCTGAAGCTGGTGAGTGAATATACATCCCTGCATTCATGTACCGATCTGCCTTTTGATCTCCTGTCACAGAGCAGCCGTGCCGGTACCGGGAACAGCGGATCTCGGGACCGGTGACAGCTGCTCCTATTCAAGCAATCGCTTGAATGTAAACCTCCCAGCCGGCCGTATAATTACAACGGCCGGCCGGGAAGCTACTCCTCCGGTCTGTGACGAGAGGATGGCGGAGCCGGACGAGTAGCTTCCCGGACTGATTTTTCAAGCCCTGGGTATGACACAAAAAAGTGGAGGGGAAAAAAAGCCAAATCTGACACATTCCACCAAAACTCCAGAAATGGACTGGACAAAATTATTGGCACCATCAATTAATATTTGGTAGCGCATCCCTTGGAAAAAATAACTAAAATCAATGTCTTCCTGTAACCATCAATGAGTTTCTTACACCTCTCTACTGGAATTTTGTACCACTCTTCTTTCGCCAACTGCTCCAGGTCTCTCAGATTGGAAGGGTTCCTTTTCCCAACTACTGTTTTGGGATCTCTCCACAGGTTCTCTATGGGATTTAGATCTGGACTCCTTGCTGGCCAGTCCAGTACTCTCTAGCGCTTTGACTGAAAACATTTCTGGGTGGTTTTTGACGTGTGCTTTGGGTCATTGTTCTGCTGTAAGACCCGTGACCTCTGACGGAGACCCAACTTTCTGACACTGGGCCCTACATTGCACCCCAGCATGCTTTGGTAGTCTTCAGATTTCATAATGCCATGAACACAGTCAAGTCATCCAGTGCCTGAAGCAGCAAATCATCCCCAAAACATCCGTGCACCTCCCCATGTTTGACTCTAGGGCCTGTATTTTTTTTCTTTAAAGGCCACATTTCTTTTTCTGAAAATAGTAGAATGATGGGCTTTACCAAAAAGCTGTCATTTTGTTTGATCTGTCCCCAGCACATTCTCCCAAAAGGATTTTGGCTTCCTCAGGTAAGTTCTGGAAAACTCCAATCTGGCTTTTTTATGTTTCTGTGTCAGCAGTGGTGTCCTCCCTGAGTCTCCTACCACAGCGTCCCTTTTCATTCAGATGGCGATGTATAGTGCGAGCCGACACAGTTGTACCCTGTGCCTGAAGGTCAGCTTGAATTTGTCTGGAAGTTGATGGAGGGTCTTTATCCACCATTCCAACAATCCTTCGCTGCAATCTTCGATCAATTGCTCTCTTTCTTCCACGTCCAGGGAGATTAGCTACAGTGCCATGGGCTGTAAACTTCTTGACAATGATGTGCACAGTGGACACATTAAGATCTCTGGAGATGGACTTGTAACCTTGGGATTGTCCATGCTTTATCACGAAAACTTGGAATGCAATTATTTCTTGCAATTTAGAGAAGGTGCCAATAATTTTGTCTAGTCCATTTTTGGAGTTTTGCGTGGAATGTGTCAGGGTTGGCTTTTTTTTTTTTCTCCTTTTTTTTTTTTTTTGTGTCATACCAATATAAACCATGAGAATGCCTAAACATTTGTAATTGCAACAATTTGCTGCACGAAGTGGTGCATTATCTGACAAATGCAGGGGTGCCAATATTTTTGGCCACTACTGTTTCGTTGCCAAGACATTTCTTTATTGCTTACATGTTATAATCCATATTTTAAGCCTGGAAATTACTTAAAACCCCCAAAACATTATATAGTGTATTCTAAAAGCAAACACCTTATAGAATAAAATGGTGGCAGCTGCAAATTTTTACGTTGCATTATGTGCAACTCTTTATCATACCCAAAATGTAACTAAAAATATATACTTAAGTTAAAGTGACATTAAACCCTCAGATTTTTTAACATAAAACAATACTGTAATGTGTGCCTTACTGTAATCCATGGTTGTTTCCCTTCTCTTTGCTGCTCTTCCTTTTAAATCCGTATCTCTTCTCATGCTGGGCAGAACTTCTGTTTTGCAGCAGACTGCCTTGTCTCTGAAATGGATACATGGTGTCTGTGTGTAGGTTCACAACCTGAGCCAGCACTACAGGAAGAGGCACTCAGCTGCAAAGGGAAGTTCTCCCCAAGCATGAGAAGAGATACAGATTTAAAAGGAAGAGCAGCAAAGAGAAGGGGAAACTACCATGGATTACAGTAAGGCACACATTACAGTATTGTTTTATGTTAAAAAATCTGAGCGTTTAATGTCACTTTAATTTTAGTGCCCCAAAACACAATATAATACCCCGGCGAGAGAATAGATACTCAACATGCCCAGGTAAAAATTGCGTGCACCAGTGAAACGGCGACAAAATACAGTACCCCAACTTGTTTCTAGGCGATGCTTTAAAAGCCCATGCAGGTTATTGGTTTAGGAGCAGCGGGAGCCCGGGAAGCAAGGCGGGGGTGGTCGGGTGGGAGGGACGGCACACTGTACAGTGTATAGGCGCTGGGAGTCCATTTACAGGTGCCCGCTGGCAGCGAAAGGGTTAAAACACCTACCTATATGGGCAAAAGTATGTGGACATTCAAGGAAGATCCTTTTCTGTTCCAGCATAAATGTACCACTGTGTAGAAAACTAGCTCCATAGGGACCTGGTTTGACCAGTTTGGTGTGGAGGAACTTGATTTGGCGGCACAGAGCCCGGGCCTCAACCATACCGATCACCACAAATTGGAACTCCAACTGCGAGCCAGGTCTGCTCATCCAATATCAGTACCTGACCTCACAAATGCTCTTTTGGCGGAGTGGACACAAAGTCCCACTAACACATTTCATAATCTTGCAGAAAGCCTTCCTAGAAAAGGGGAGGCTGTTATATTTAGAGGGGAAAGGGGGGACAACTCCATATTTGTACCCATGTTTTTGGATTGCTGAACAAACTGAACAAGTCAGGTTCCCCTTATTTTTGTCCATAGATAATGTATGTATACTACGTGGTGGAATGTGAACACTAGTCTGCACCATATACTGGCTATGACTAACTGGTATTCACTGTCATTTGACACTTTGAAGCAAAGCTACATAAAACCTGCTTTAATTATAATCTGCTTTCCTCTACTACTCATTGTGGGGAAAGGCCTACTGCTAGACAGTGCTGAAGTATTTTTTAGCATAAATATACAAGTGGAAAAGGAAGATGGATAAAGCTGACTCGAGTCCCTCTAGTCACCAATACATAAAAAATACACATAAAATAACCCAGGTATGATGAGGTTTGGTTCTAATGTTGCTTTTTTCTCTAGGTCGGTGGAAGCTGAACTCGAGAAGATTCGGAGGTTTCAGTGTATCCTTTTATGAAACGCTAAAAAAAAAAAACTACTTGTCCAAGGACTATAGCAGGGGCCCAATCTACTGCTCCGTCAGGACAATCTACTTGTAGTGATACAAAAAATAATTGTAACCAAAACTCTATTTAACCATCCTAAGAAGCATTTCTCTTTGGTCAGCACGATTGGTCAGGCGACCATGCTGACCAATGACTCCTCGCAATCTGGGAGAAACTCAAAATCCATAGGGCTGCGCTGGACAACAGTGCGGAGTAGGGATAGTACACCTGTACTGGCGGAGGGGAAGGACCATTTGCCGAAAGGTAAACGTAGGGGGGTGGGGCTGAGCAGATTTGAGTGGGTAATTCCATTTTCCTAAATTACTTGGGAAATGGATCTTACCCTTTAATGCACATTCTGTGTCCTAGAGAGCATTGCTGCACGTCTACCACAATATGGCACACAGCAAAATAGAAGCAGCACACCGTGCACACACATACATACGCAATTCCCATTTGCATGCATATGGCAGGGGGCTTCTTAGTTTTTTACTTTATCACTTTTTTTTTTCACTTTATTGCTATCAATAGCGTAATAGTGTTTTGAGGTGACGGGTTCTCTTTATGGAGCCTTCCCTCCAATGCAGAAGATCGCGCACAGCATTGTACTCTACTCTAACTTCTGTCCAGCCCAGCTTGTGACTGCTAAGACAGGAAGTGCTGTGTGTATCCTGGTGAAGTAAGTCCAACCTGAAGTAATTTACTGTGGTCCCATGTCCCCCAGAAGAGCAGGGGACCCCAAAAGCCACAGTGGGGTGGGGAACAAGCAGGCTGCTACAAGTGACCTGGGCAGCTGAACAACCACCCAGATAACTTGTACAAAATGAGCAGAGGCTCCACTGCTCTACATTTATCCTTGCTGCAGGGCTAAATGTAGAAAACAAATACCAGTCCAGCGCCCTCGGAACATGCCGAGTTTAAAATTTCCCCATAGAAATGTTATTGTTGTCTGATCTGGCTCAATACGGCTACAAGGGAAGACTGTCAATTTTCTATTTTTTTTTCCTTTTAAGAAAAAACAATCTAGCACTAAACTCCACACTGGAGGGGCAAACCTCATTGACAAATGGCAGGCAGATCCCTCTAGAGCAGGGATGGCCAAACTGCGGCCCTCCAGCTGTGGTGGAACCACAAATCCCATGAGGCTTTGCAAGATTCTCACAGACTGACTCCCGGAGAGAGATGCTTCATGTGATTTGTAGTTTCACCACAGGTGGAGGGCCGGAGGTTGGCCATCCCTGCTCCAGAGGGTCTGCGGTTCTGACGATGCAAAGTTTTTATTATGTTTTTTGTTTTCTGGTTGAACTCTATGGACATATTTTTTAACCTCTGAGCAAGTACAATGTCCCTTTTTTATCGTCATTCAAAAGCAAGCCTGGCCTGCTGTATCCGTATGACAGCTGGAAGTAGGTTAGGTATTGGAAGAAGGCCGTCACATGGGGCTGGGGGAGGTATCCATTAGGCAGGTTGCAGAATGAGCATCTCAATATAGAGCTAGGGACTGTAATGTCATTCCTGACCCAGGGATAATCAGCGCTCTCCTACCGCAGACCCCCCTATAGTGGGTCCCAGCGGTAAAGTACGTGACGCATTGGAAGGGTGTACTTATGGAGTTCCCCAGGCCGTGCCGTGCCATATGGAGATGATTGGCAGTACCAATAACAGAAGGGTGGAGAAGGACAAGGGGGAGGGGTACATGCATAAGTAAGGAGAAAGTGGGAAGAATAGGCCTCTTGGAGTAGAGGGAGGGACAGGTATGGTTACAGCGGGCGCCCACCCCCTGCCAGGCAGGAAGGTGGTGTTCATATGTGGACATATCAAGGTGAGAGGGCTGCCAGGTAGCCGTCCGAGTTTCGGAAGTTAGATAATTTTTTTAATGTAGAAATCTGTCTTTTAACATGTGCCCCTGTTTTGTTAAGAGCTTGCACTACTTTTTCAGTTGCATGTTTTTTGCGCCTGTTTTCATCTGCACTTCTGCGGCTGTCTGAAACTGGAACATCACCTAACAAAACAATCCCCGTGTCCACTTCTTCAAGAAGCGATAGTCAAGCTTTTTGTCTGGAGTTAGAAGTCTTCTTTCTTGGAGTCTATTAAACCTCATTTATGAACAACATTACACTAGCAACATAAATCTGGCGCAAAGCGCATCAAATATATTCCATGCAAGTTCAAACACTCGGAATTGCTATGATAAATTCCCCCCAATGTTTTGTGTTTTACATCCTTAACCATCCCGTGTCCAGTTCTTCTAGAGAATGGCAGTTCAGGAAGCCACAGAACTGATGTGAACCTCTGCAGGCAGCTTGGCAGTGATGACGACTCGCAGAAGACTATAGGTGACATGGATATACATTCCGTTCTGGAAAAGACATCAAAGGCCATAAGAGACATTGACGTACTGCTTTCCTTAAGAAAATAATATCTCCTGCACATAAATAAAGATATGGGAGAATATTTATACTGCGTTCTGCTGGCAGCGGTTAGACATGGATTTTAGCTGTCATGCAGCAAATGGAAGCTTGGACTAGATGCCAGTGTGACTCTAATAAAGGACTTCAGCTCTGTGGCATCTTCTCTCAACAATATCCATTCTAAATGGGTCAATTTTTTTTCTTGTAGACAGTTATGCATCAGTGCAAAGGAATTCCAAAGCCATAGCACTGTAATATTCAGTGCAGGTTCCAAATATAAGGAGGAATGTGTCTCTTAGGTGTTTCAGGGCTACGTACCGATGAGGATATCAGTCTAGTGTCCTGATCCACAAGAATGGCTCTACTTTTCTACATCATTCACCATCTCAGCTTCCAGATTTGTTCCAGTGTTTGGGGGAACCCCCTGCGCCCGGTCCCAGATTGGACTGCTGTAGATCTTTTAGAACTGGTGCCCCCCTGCCAAGAAAGGACAGACTAATAGAAAAAGTTCTATTCAGCAGCGCCGATGACTCAAAGGGCCAGGGAAGTGCAAGACATTATCTCATTGCTCAGAGATTATTTACAGCGATCTTGTCTCCATGACCCTCCCTTGCATAGCTCTATCCCCCTCTCTATGTTGCTCAACTTGGTGGGTGGAACGGGTTTATACCATCCTGCTTGCCTACCGTGATCAGTTAGCCACACTGCGGGGGACGGTCTGCAGCAACTCTCTCTAAGTAGACATTTTGGATATTTTTCACCCTTAACACCCCCGATTGGATTTACATGCAGCTCAACTCCTTTTTTGGATTAACGAGTGGCCTGTCCACTACAGCCCCCCCTCACAAACACACACTAAATACAAATGGTTTAAAAAAAAACATAGTGCTCCTATAAGAAAAAAAAAAACAGTTAATGTTATGTGTTGAGGAAAATTTTTCTACTAATACTCTAACACAGATGGTGTGAATCGGCCCTAATACCATTATTAAACCAACATTCAGGTGAATATTTTCTGTATGACCATGTACAAAAGAAAGATTTTGTCCACCAGTTCTGTGACACTGGTGCAAAAATCGACCATCCCCGGGTCTGTCTCTGAGACCCAGCTCCCGAGATCCGCCTGTGACATAGTGCTGCAGGCTCTGGGACCCAGCACTCTCAAGTCGACCACTGATTTATGTATTTTTTGTGTTTCAGCCTAGATGCAGAAATTTTGCTCCCCATTTCTGCTGTTGAAGAGCTCACTACTCCGGCTTCTGAGCCTAGTCCTTATTTCCGTGCAGTCGATTTAGTATGTTTCAGTCAGTTTCTTCTATGTCAAGTACTCTAAGGCCCCATTCACATGAGTGCTGTCCATTCCAATTAGCAGGGAATCCATGCACAGATGCCCTGCTGATCTAAGCAGTACAGAATGGGGGGTGGCGGAAGGGTCAGCATTGTTAAATCCGTGTCCATCCAGTTTTTTCCTCCTCATGATGAAAGAAACACCTGAACTTGTTGGACCCATGTTAGGTCTATGGGAAGTCGGATGTAAGCGGACATGTGTCCTGGACCATGGCGATAATATCCAGACATGTGACGGTTATGGCGGATGACTTTACAAAGACAAAACTTGCCTAGCTTAATGAATTACATGAAATTGTACCGACTTCGATCTTTCGATTATGTGCAAGCAAAAATCCTGTGGGTTTTCTTTTCCCCTTGCACATGATTGGGTAGTATATGTAAAGTGAATTATCACTTTGTTTTACCTCATTCACTAGGATACGTGAAAATTAATTTTGCAGTAAATTAAACCAGTAGTGTAGTTATTGATCATCCAATGTTTAAATCACCTCAGCTTCTTTTGCATCAATCATCTTTTTAAATATATTTACAGATGCATGTGTTTTATATTTTTAGTTTAATTATTTGTTCTCCTTGTGCTTTTTAATTTTTTTGTGAGCCTGATAACTTTCTCTGATGTAATCAGATTGGTGGCTTTTTCTTGCTTCAGGTTCTCAAGGTGGTTCTTGCGCAATAAGATTGGCAGCCACAGTCATGAGATTTGGGGTACTTACCCAGCAGGGGACTCGGGGAACATTGGCCAGTCACCAGGTCTATTGATACCTTTGGTACATAGTGTAATGTATAGTGGCTTATGCTATGTAGTGTGAGAATTAACTTCAAATGGTAGCGCATTAAGGACACTTCCACTCGCTTTTCAATTTTTTAAGGGCTTCTTTGCCCACTTTTATTAACTCAAAAGTCCACATAGGTGTTCAAGGGTTTCAAACGTAAAATACAGTTTCTTCTGTTAGCAAAATAACATTTTCTCACCGACTTCAGGTGGTTCCTTTAACCAAAACTTCTGGCTACACAGGCTGTATTCAAAGGGCTTGCCACACTGGCTTGTCTTTTCGCCACACAGGCTTGTCTTTTCGCCACACAGGCTTGTCTTTTTGCCACACAGGTGGATTGCCACACAGGCTTGTTACATACATAGTTACATAGTATTTGAGGTTGAATAAAGACATTAGTCCATCAAGTCCAACCTATTAGGATCTCATTCTAGGAGT